AGATGTGTGCTCTCCTGTTTCTCTCCTGATTCTTGACACATCAAGTTCTCCGTGTGGCTGTGCCTTAGGGTAGAGAGGGAAAGAGGGAAAGGGCCTCCATTGTCCTCGATCCAAACGGAAGCAATCCCAGATCTTCCGCGATGCGTTTGACTTGGATTATCTACTTCAGTCTGCATAAACCCGTTTTTACAGATGAGTTAGCTGAGGTACAAAGAGATTTAAGCACTGGTGATCCTATTTCTAGGCTGTGCTGCATTCCCAGAATTCTGTACCTCCCTCTCCTTCTTTCAGACAGGGTCTCCTTAACAAAACCACTCTTAATTGAACAAATCCTAGGGCCAGGAAAAAAAAATGCTTCAGGACTTACAGGTGTGTAGCTCTCGCGGCGGACCTGCATTTGATTCCTAGCACCCAGGTCTGGCTGCTCACAGCAGCCTGGAAACTTCAGCTCCAACGGCATCCAGCGCCTCCTGTTCTCTGCAAGTGCTGCTCCCGTCACCCCCATGTACACATAACTAAACAATAACATCGAATCCCCCAGAGGGAAGAATGAAAAGGGCAAATTCTTAAAAAGTTTTCTACTATTTCTGTGTGGCGATCAAGAGGTCAAATTTGCTAGTAGCTGAAAATTGAAAGCCTATTCAGTCAATGTCTTTAACGTTCTGCCCTTCTTGGCTTGGCATTTCGTTTTTAAGGCTGTCCAGACTGATATAAAACGCGGGATCCTCCTGCTTCAGCCTCCCTAGGAACGGAGTAACAGGTATGAGATACCACGTCAGGCTTCTTGACTAATCAGAAACAATATGTGTACACCAGTGATAAATTTTAAACATGAAATGATCAATTTTTAAAAACTTTCACAAAACACCACTTTGCGTTTTGTAAAGCTCAAGGTATACTAAGGAATCTGATTCCAAAGTCCCAAACAATAAACTACATTTTCACAAACTGCACGCTATGACTTCTTTTGTTTTCTTTTCGAGGGGCTGGGCATCAAACCTCCGCAGTCATGCATGCTGGGTGTGGCTTGACTGCCTGGCTGCACCCGCTCCCCCCAAGTGCAGTCTGCAGTGTGCCCTATGGGGAAATGCCAAGTTTTCTGTAATCTGCAAGTGATCTGAAGACGGTTGCGATTGCTGCACGGTCAGACAGCGAGGCGGTTGGTGCCGGTTAGAAGGTTAGAACGCTGGACCGCGTTTACAATCTGGCTGCGGTTCAAGCTTTCCAGCAGCCAGATGGGGTCTTGGAGTGGAAATCCAAGGCTTGACCTCTGAACTCGGTTCCTTGTTTGTTTCTAAAGTCCTCCTGCAGCCCTCACAAAAGCATGATTTTCCTTTCTGCTATCGGCGTTTGTAAAGCAGATTTTATACTTGGATTCTGCTGTAGGGTTTCTGTGTTTGTTCTCTTCTTCTTGCTTGAACGTGACTGTGGAGGTGTCTGAAGCACATATCTCTGGTGCGGAGCCAGCTCGGAACACCTGGTTCGTTCCTCTCATTTCCTGTTGCAACAGAGCTGTGGAGAGGCCTCTGGGGATGGGGGTTTGTGCAGGGGGCCAGTGCAAGGAACAAGGATGCATGAGACAGTGTGCGGAATCAGAGGGCGATTTGATTTATCTGCAAACCCAGGACTAGAACCAGGTGACAGTGACTGCCGCTGAAGGGAGACTGATGTGCTTGCTATAAAACTGCTGTGGATTTCAAGTATTGGTCAGGCCAGGAAGGTTTTGCCAATAAAAAGCCTATAATAAATAAGATGCCTTCCTGGTGAATGTCAGTGTTGATAATCATTAAACTACTCCAGCTCTGTTCCCATAAAACAATAAAGTGTTGGAGCGTTTCCCTCCGTTCGGCACTCTGGATCCTTCTACAGACTTGATGAGGCTTAGATAACAGATCCGATAAACCCATTAGTTTCCGGAGCCCGTTACTACCCTGTGCACAAATTGGCACAGACTTGATGACCCGTCACTGAGGTTTGCCTCTCAGCGCATCCTTAGCTTCATGATTTGAGATCCTGGCAAGGACCTGCAGACAGTTGGGAATGTGTCCGAGCCAAAACCCGTCTCCTGTCTCCTCTGGCACTCAGCCAGAAACCTCAGTGGTACAATTGGTTAGCAAGGTTGCGGCGGGACCTTTGAGCTCCCCGTGGTTTCCTTCCATTGTTTCGAACGTGATTCACATGGTTTCTGGAACCAGAGAGAGGGTGAATTTCACTCTGGCCAGAAAAATGATCTCTTCCTTCCCTTAAACACATGGATGCTCATGGTTCGAGGGGCGTCTTAATGGTAAGTCCTTAAGGGATTGTGCCAGCACATTCTCTTCGTATGTTCCATACCTGTTACAGTTAGTGGAGGATGTGTTCCTGGGAACTGGCATTATTTTCTGCTTGTATTTTATTTCAAGCTGATGTTCTAAAACGGGTTAGTGCTTCTTGATGCTCTAGAAGACACTGTTGTTCTTCTGGGCAGTGAACTTAGATCAAGCCTTTGCTCTTCTTGGCCGCTGGAGGACTGTGTTAATCACTTATCTCACTGCTGTGAAAACACCTGACAAAAGCCACACAAGGAAGGGAGGATTTACTTTGTCTCAAGTCCCAGGGCAGAGTCCATTGTGGCACGAGGCAGCTGGTCACATTGCAGCCCCAGGCAGAGACAGAACAGAGGGATGCTGATGCTCAGCTCCTCTTTAGTTAGCCTGGTACTTAGGACAGTCTCCCCTCCTGAGCTAACTACTCTACAAACTCCATCCCAGACTTGCTCAGAGACCCATCTCCAGGGTGATCCTCCATCCTGCCAAATTGACAGTCAGTATAAACCATGTAACCTGTGCTCCTCGTCCCAGGAAGGAGCCCGGGCTTACACAGTCGGTTCCAGACCACTGACCTCTCCTGGGAGCAGAGCTGTTGTGGAGTATGAAGCTATAGCACCAGCTGAAGGCAGCTTTGTTTTCTTCCTCTTTTCTTTTCTCTCTCTCTCTTTCTTTCTCTCTCTCACTTTTTCTTTCCTTCCTTCATTTCTTCTTTAAGGTCCACTCAGTAGGGAGAGACTGGGATGGTGGGGAAATCAGCAAGTAATTGTGCCTAAATGACTTTCAGTGTTGGCCCTTACACATCTGACAGCTGCCAGAACACATAGCAATTCCCTGTGTGTTCTAAGGGACTTCATTTGTCTCCTCCTCTCCAGCCAGGCCGTTCTGTCTGCTCCCAATCACCTTCCCTCAAACCACCATCTACTCTGGTGGTGCCATCACTTGTTAAATCCTTATTACAGTCACCTCCAAATCCCACCTTCAGGGAGATGCCCAGGCTAACAGACTAACTTCAGCTCTGCACAGGACATCACAGTGACCCTTGCAAGCAGCTTGTGGGATTGCTAGCTGCGCAGAGAAGTGTGGGACATCCTCTGATCTAAACTTCAAGTTCCTTGCAAAGCCAGGCCGCTACTCACCAGCTAGCTTGCAACGTGTGTGAGGCCCAGCTTGGCTCTGTGTTTTCAGGCTCGGTTGGGAATCAACTCACTCACTGACCCATCGGTGGCTTAGTTTGGGGCTGTACTCGACTAGTCTAGTCTGTCACCTTACTCATGAAGTAACCTTGCCTATTTATCAGGGAATATTAAACCGGATCCCTAAAGTATACCTGAAGGTAGATTTTCAAAACAGAAGAAAGAGCTATTTATCTAGGTAGCATGGGATTGGGCTTCAACAAAGAACCATTCATAAGTTCGTTGATATACTTGTCAGCTTTCAGCGGGCAACATCTGTGTGCTCCTTAGGCGCTAAGATCACACTGGTAAACAAGATAGGGAAAAGCTTTCGACCCTCATTTATATCACCAGTTCCAATATTTTCCTTAGATATCCCGAATCCCTATAAAATATTTTTAAATTATAGTGGTGTCTTGCGATGAGAATATGTTTTATATTTTGTTTCTTTCCCCCCATCTCCATTATATTTCCATCATGAAACTAAAGGTATATAAGTCTGTAATTATAATTCTCAGGATTTTTTCTACGTGGCTTTCTACTTTCTTCATTCAGTTTGTGAGTGTAGAGGTATTGCTTAGACCAAAGAAGAGGACCTCAGGTTATCGCCTGGTTGGATAATCATCAAGAAGAACATAAGAGGGGGCTAGAGAGATGGCTCAGTGGTTAAAAGCACTGGCTGCTCTTCCAGAGGTCCTGAGTTCAATTCCCAGCAACCACGTGGTGGCTCACAGCCATCTATAGTGGCATCTGATGCCCTCTTCTGGCAAAAATCTTCTATGCAGATAGAACATTCAAATACATAAATAAATCAATCTTTAACAGAAAAAAAGAACATAAGAATTATGGAATATACTTAATATACATATATTTATTTTTCCCCCTCAAAGACATCTCCCTGTGTTATCGGTGTTGAGTGATTAAGGCCTAGCTTCCCACTGACCCCCTTACTCCCTTTGGAATTAGGCATAATCTTTTTGTAAGAAAACAAGCATAGTTCCACAGTTCAGGGCGCTGCTAACCAAGCACCGTTCCTAAGCCGCACACCAAAGGTTCTTTCTTTTATCTTTCCCCTCTCTCCCCAGCCTCTTCTTTCCTTCCTCTTAGAGGTCTAAGTGTAAGACAGGCACCTCCCTCTTCCCTCCTTCTTGCTCCAGCTTGAGTTCTGACATTTCATCCATGTGTGCACTGTGCCAGCCTCTCTCATCTTGGGATGCTGATCTTGTGGGGCTCAGACGGGGACTTGGAACCTGTGTTTTCAAAAATGCTAGAGGAAGGCAAACATCTTGTTGATGACATAGATGAGTGCCTTTAGAAGGTTCTCGATGTTCTAAAGTGTTCTTGCCCCACACCTAGTCCTAAGGCACGGCCTGCCTGATAAGCTTTCATACCAAAGGTTGCCTCGTGCTAATTTTATGTTCTGACGGTAATCCAAAGTTATGTACTATATACGTCTGTGTACAATGAGGGTATTTAAACTTTTTTTGTAAAAAACAGTATCCTTGCAATGTCTCCACAGGCAATGGTGGCTTGCTATCCAGGAAATGGAACAGGTTATGTCCGCCATGTGGACAACCCCAATGGCGATGGCCGCTGTATCACCTGTATCTACTACCTGAATAAGAACTGGGATGCCAAGGTACTGTGGAATAATGGGGAAGGGTTGGAGTGGGTTATATATGCCATAAAAAGTGCAGATAGGCGTGTCCTGAGAGGAGTATGCCACTTCCAGTTAGATAAAAATATTCAGGTTAGAGTTTCTAATAGTCCGTCTCCACTGTTTTATTTTTTTTAACCTTTCCCCTACTTGTGGAATTAGTACCAAAGTTGATGAGATTAAGGACAGTGACTATAAAGTTAATTAGGTGGAGGAGGGGGAAGTGATCATGAAGGTCAAGGGTTAGTGAGGGAAGTAATTTAACACTGGGGTGCAGAGCTGATGTGGTTCTCAGCTCAGCATATAATGTACACCTCCCAGCAGCAACACTGAGAGAACTCCACAGAAACGGAGGAGTGGAGTACCAAACTGTCCCTGACACAGATTTCCCACATTGTCCTCTTTCTTGGGATGATGTGTCCCAAAGGGAACCGTTTGTCATAGCTTGTGAATGGCAGAGGTTGTGTGGCTTATTTTTGAATGGTAGGTGGTAGAGATGGAATGGATTGAGATGTGACGTTGGTGTAGCGTGGTCTGCCCCTTGTATACTCTCTGAAAGTTAAGAATGATTTAGGGGTCTGGGTAACCAGGGAACTTAGAAGCTTGTTTAGACTGGAATTCTGTGCATGTGTTTGCTGTTCATTAGTGCAGGCTCGGCTGTGGTAATGTCTGTAACAATGACTGTCTCATATTCAGTAGTAAGACTGGAACAGTTCCTCTAGGGCTTAAAAGTATCTTTGGGGATGCTATGGTGTGCAGAGTTATTGCTCCAAAAATAATAAACAAGGAAGAACGAAATCAGCGAATGTTTGATCTTCTGCCAGTGTTGGAGCGGTGTGGTGTAGAAACATCGATGTGTGAGGCCTGATTTCTACTCTAATGCCTGTTCCAGGAGGGCAGTCGGTTGTTTGTGTGACAAAGGAAAAGCCAGTGAAGAAAGTGTCAGGTGTCCAAAAAGGTGTAGACGGCGTGGTGTGAGATCTAGGGAGTGGTCCAGTCAAGGAGGTCAGATGGCATTTGAAGAAGACACAGGAGCACTATAAACTGTTAATGCAGGGGCAGCTGTCTGTGATGAGCGCTTAGACTCAGTATTTGACGGCTCTATGAAATTGTTTAGGATTTGTTTGCTTGCTTTTTGGGGTTGAAGCATCCTGACACGGACAGTTTTGTGTGAGGCCCTCTGACTGTCTGCTGTTTTGTGTTGTGGCCGTCATGGCTGTGTGAGATGCTGGTCTGAAGTGAGTGAGGAGCTGATGTAACTAAGTCTGAGATAAGTTTCACTGTAAAGTACGAGGGGAGTAAATATCTGGGGGGTAGAACCCACTTAAAATGAGGCAGATGAGATGTTTCTCTTTGATAGTGCGAATGTAATCTTGCTGGTACACTTCCTATGAGAGCAGGAAATAACCATTCCTCTTCTTGGCCTTCAGTTACATGGAGGGGTTCTGCGGATATTTCCAGAAGGGAAATCGTTCGTAGCAGATGTAGAGCCCATTTTTGACAGACTCCTGTTCTTCTGGTCGGACCGCAGGAACCCACACGAAGTCCAGCCCTCCTATGCAACCAGGTAAGAGTCAGGGTCACAGTTCTTCTTCTAGAGCGTGTGTGAACCCCCAGTTCCCTGAGAACTCTTAGAACTTATATCCCATACTAGGAAGTGCTGGTCACACCCCAAAACTGATAGGTAAGCCTGTTTGGAATGATAGAAATTGAAGGGACTCTTTAGGATTCAGTAATCTACAAATATAACCATTTTAAAATAACTATTAACTTATTTTCTGTGAGTTGTGCATACTGGTCTCTGTTCCTTAGATACCTTTCCCTTTCCTTCTGTCCCTTCCTCCGTCCGCTTAGGGAAAAAAAAAAAAGTTGCTTGGGCACATCACACTCCTGTAATACCAGCAGTCAGAGTGTAAGCAGGAGGACTGAGAGTCCAAGACAATGCGAGCGAAGTGAGACCTAGGCTTGGAAACATCGAGGACCAAACAGCAGCAACAAAGCCTAATGTTGAACTAAGCCCTGGTCATTGAAAGTTCTGCTTCTTTGAGTGAACTTGGTTTGTCAATTTAAGCAAAGAAAGAACCTTGGGAAAGGAAAGAATAATTTGTTCTAAATTCATTTCCTTTTCACTCTTTCTGTTTGCCTGAGTTAACCTTAAAGTTTGCCTGGGCTAACATTACCTGTGTCATAACAATTGGATTTTTTTAGTTTTTGCTTGCGCCACCTGTTCATCATTTCATCCATTCATCTATTTTTGAGACAAGGTCTCATGTCAGGATGACCTGGAACTCACTCTGTAGCAGAAAATGACCTTGAGTTTCTGATCCTCCTGCCTCTACCTTCTGAGTGCTGAGATTATAGACATGTGCCATTGCACGTGGCTTTTGTGGGGCTAGGGCATTATGCACGCTGTGCACACACTCTGTTAACTGAGCGACAGCCCCAGACCTACAGCTGAATGTCTTTAAATCTTTCCTTCCTCCCTCCCTGTCTTCCTTCTTTCCTTCCTTCCTCTCTCCTTCCCTCCCTCTCTCCCTCCCTCCGTCCCTCTCTTCTTTCTTTCCTGCCTCTCCTCCTCCTTGGCACATGGACGTACAGGTTTTAAGAGTCACTGAATATCTTAGAATTATCTAATCTTAATCTAGAAAACTCTGATAAAAAATACTTATGTCTGCTTCTACCTCCAGTTCTCCCTTATCTCCCACCAAGCGCTGGGGGCCAGGCAGAGCACAGAGCCCTGCAGAGTGAGGCTTGTACTGGGAGTAGCAGCGAGGTAGGGGAGAGAACCTTGTAGGAGGACAGTGGTGAGCCTTAAAAAGCTTCACTTCTGCCGTAGGCACAGCCCTCTAGACTCTCCAACCCGAGCCCAGCGACACAGGTTTGGTCACACTGTAGCGTGCTCTGCACAAACAGGCCACTCGTTCTCTCCGCTGAAATCCACTCGTGGCTTGTTTTGTGGGGCTCAATAATTGGACCCTGTTTTGTGGCAGGGTTCTCTTATTTCCCAGCCCCATTGTGATCAACTTTAGAGGGAAAATATCAGCAAGAGTGATTAGAAGCCCTTGGGATTTTTGCTGGAAATCTTAATGGAAATTTTATGACTAAGAATGAGTATAAAAGTCAAAGTTTTAAAAGTCCAAGCATGAGATAGCTCCGATTACAATTTGTCCCGTGGATAGGACAAAGCCAAGGCGTCAGTACTGAACTGCACCGTTTTACCGAGGTCTAAAACTAAAGAGAGCAGGCCTCGTGTTGGACTTGTGAATCTGCGACTTGTGAAAGCGCCACTGAGATGTTACCTCCCCTGCGCTGGTCCCTTCCCATGTCTTGAGCCTCTCTCCCCAGTCCTTCCTATGCAAACTGCGCTTCCCCTTGGCATCTTTCCTGCAGAGTCGCCCACTGGGCACTGAGAGCCTAAAGAGGGGGAAATAGTGACCGCATCATTGCATTCCCAGCACCTGGCATGTGCCCGGAACCCACGTGCTAGATGACACTTAGGTAGAATTGAGCCCAGAGGAAATGCTTTGAAATTAAAATAAGAGCGAACTTCTGATAAGAGGTGGTTTTACAAATGGTTTTAGTGTGAGCTTCACAGAGTAAGTTTGAAGACTTTGGTGTTTTCTAATTACATGGGCTTGTCTTTCACAGGTACGCTATGACTGTCTGGTACTTTGATGCTGAAGAAAGGGCAGAAGCCAAAAAGAAATTTAGAAATTTAACTAGTATGTATCTGATCATTTTCTATGACTTTGCTTTTTTCTATTTTGCAATACACTGTTTAATCTCAGTTGTAACTTAGCTTCATATATATAATGATATCTGAAATATTGGCCTTCATGCTCTTTAAAAAAAAGAAGGAAATGTGGGGGTCCTTTCCCCTCGCAATATCAAATTTTGTTCATGAATTTAGCATTTATACAGAAAATAAAATGGATCCTAGCTCCAATAGCTAATTTACATTGATACGGGATTTGATTCAGTCTAAAATATAAATACATATATGAAAGTGGGCTCTTGCCAAACTGCCGTGACAATATCATTCCTGTCACCTCCATTCCGTATTTATAAACCACACTTCCCAAACTCGGCGGCACTAAGCTGAACATTGCTGAACAGCGCTTTAGAGGCTGAGACGGGCGGAGCGTGAGTGTGAGGCCAGCCTGATCCCTCTACTAAGACCATGTCTCTGACTCCCCCAGGGACGGTCTCCCCAAAACGTTGTACAAGTGTAGTAATTCTGCCAGGTTGGTTTATGGAAAAGGTAAAGCCCTGACCCTCTGAATGAGGGAAATGCTGCACCTGTATTCTCCTTGCTAGTGACTACATGCCTTAGACGTCTTCCAGTAAGACCCGGAGATGCAGCTCAGAGGTAGAGGGCTTGTCAAACGCACAGGGTGTCCTGGGTGCAGTCTTCTGCACTGACAGATAAATAAAAGTATGTTTTCATAAAGACATGGGTGTAACTTCACCTCACACATGGGTATAGAGATACCTATCAGATGCCAAGGGAGACACCTTTTCAAAGTTCTGTCAGGAATCTCAATTTGCTTATAAAATGGGACATTGTTTAATAGAGGGGTGTGTGCTTAAGTGTGTGTGCATGTGTAAGAGAGGGAGTGTATATATGTTTCTGTGTGTGTGTGTGTGTGTGTATGTGTGTGTGAAAGAGAGAGAAGGAGAGAGAGAGAGAGAGAGAGAGAGAGAGAGAGAGAGAGAAAGAGAGACTTGGTGACATAATTCATCAAATTGACTTTCTAATCTTTCTCTCTTTTTTTCTTCTTTTCTCTCTTGCCCCCAACCCAGGGAAAACTGAAGACTGACTGTAGCTGGGAAATCCGCTGGCCTCGTTCACTTAGTAATGGTTCCTGAAACTTTAAGGATCCAGAGCCAAAGAGTCTGTAAAATCCCCTACTGCCTCCATCATTCACATCCCTGTCTTGTTTGTGGTACTTCGTGTTTTCTTGCCAGGACTGAGTTGACCTTCAGACACTCTTTGCCAGATGAACTCGTTAGCTAACTCTAGAAATACCTGCCAACGTCCGCATTGGCCAGCGGTTTAACGGATAGGTTTGGGGATCCGGCTGCTGAGATGAGACCCAGGAGACCCAGGAGTGACTCTTATTTGCACTTTATGTATATTTCCTGTTTGAAAGGAGGAGGATTGCAAAACACATTGGTGACAGATGCCACAAAGAGGCACCCTTGAAACCTTAGCAGCAAGAAACAGAGATACATATCATCTCAACAATTTCCAGATGTTAACCCGAGACTGGACAGTTACAACAACCTAATGGCGTTATTACCTCTAGGAAGGGTTGCTATCATCGTGATCCATTTATAAATGTCCCACGGTGGACACAACTTTTTCCTGGCCCTACAACCTGGACTTTCTAAATCGATGGCTTTCTTGTTGAAGATGACAACTCCATTACTCTCTATTTTGACTTCTTACTTGGAGAACCTAATTATGCAGAGAATAAAACTGGCCATGTAGTTTGGGTTGTTTTTCTGGCATCGAAATTGGAAGTGAAATCAAAGGACAGAAAAACTTCCTGGTAATTCAGCATAATTCTTCTGCCCACTGTCTGGGCAGAGTAAAGCCTAGCGCTACCCAATACTCTTGTGCGCGGTGAACAGGTCGAAAAGGAAGACGTGTTTGGAAGCGCAGGCAACCCCTTCGCCAGTGCGCCTTCCCACCGTTATCATTAGCAACGACGAAGAACAGTGCGCTGTATTCTTGAAAGAGATTGGAAATAAAAAGATCTCAAAGCCGTTAGAGTTCTGCCAAGTTGTCTGCCCCCACCAACTGTTCTTTAGCCGCCTTGAAGCTTGAGAGCCACCGGCTGGTAGTGCGGCCAGACTTGTGGATGCTGCTTCCTCCAGAACTCCGCACTAAGCACCTGCTTTGTAAAAGCTATCCGTCCTCGTTTTGGCTTCTACCTCCCCATCTCTGAGATCTCTATAATTTCTTGCTAGAATCCCACGAGCATCACAGACCCGGAAATGTTTTGTTTCATCGTGTTCAGATGTACAGACTTTCCAAGAAAGAAGCTGGTCTTTTTCCTTCGATCATTTTGGAAGGTGTCAAGAAAGAACTGCCGTTCCTTCCCACCATGGCTCTATTTTATTTTATTTAGTATTTTTCACCTTCTAACTTACGATGTCATTTCCTTATTTATTATGTCTATTGTCTTGTAGCCTATGGTGTCTAGAGTGTTAAGTACAACAAAGACAGGGACTTTGTACATGTTTGATCAATGCAACATACTCCCAGCACCTGGCCCATAGCAAGGGCTTAGTAAACATGTGTTCAATAAACTCAGCCTCCTCGGTAATGGTTTGATGTATTTTCTTTGTCTTTGTCTTTGGCTTGTTGGATTTTTTTTATTTATGTTTCCAGCATTGAGACTATGTTTCTTTCTTGCTTGGATCTAGGACAATAGTTCTCAACCTGTGGGTCATGACCTCTTTGGGGGTCAAACTACCATTTCATAAAGGTCTTAATATCAGACATCCTGCATATCAGATATTTAGATTACAATTCATAACATCATCAAAATTACAGTTATGAAGTAGTGATGAAAATAATTTATGGCTGGGGGTCACCACAACATGAGGAACTATATTAAAGAGCCATAGCATTAGGAGGATTGAGAACCATGACCTGGGGCCTCATAACGCCCTAGCAAGCACTCTTCCACTGACCTGTACCGTCATGGCCCCTGTCATTGCTATGAATTCAGGCTGAGAGTTTTACAGAGCTCTGGTTACAATGTCATTTCTTGTCTGCTTATCAAGTGAGTAGGTCATTCCCAGGTGCTATGTCCCACACAGCTGGGTCTTGATCTGACTGAGACAGGAAAGAGAATGAAAACTGGACAGACAGACAAACAGACTGGGATCAGCTAGACCGAGCTGTGCCTCCTACCCAACAGCGCAACCTTACTACTCACAGCACTGGAGGAGTTAACTGGTTTCAGGAGGAGATCTTTCAAGGGGAGCTGTCTCAGGCTGCAGTCTCCTGAGAAGAAACTGCAGGTACTATTACCAGTAGGGCTTTGGCGTCCTCCTGAGCCTCACCCATACAGGGCGGGCTTTGCTGTCCTGTGGGTCTGAGGCATTGACTCTTGACATGGCCGTGGCTGTATCAACAATATTCCTTCACTCCAGACTTCATCCACTCTATACACACATACCCAGGGCTGCCCCCCACTGTCCTTCACCCCACCCCACCCTGCTGCCTGGAGTAGTGTTTCCTCAGCACTTTAATGGCTGTAAAGTGGGTGAGAGTGTCAGAAAGAACCTTCACACACAGTGTTTCAAAGTTCAGTGGCGGAGGAATGTCGATAGGTGATAGATCAAGCACCTCAGGTTCTGTAAAGCGGCAAATACCTTTCCAGGATTACTCACGTCTCTGAGTGACCATGGCAGTATTCTGAAAGAAAGGCATACCATCCAATCTCCAGCTGTGACTGCTGATATTTTAGCGTTTGTTTCTTATCTTAAAACTGTTTGTAGCTGGCTGATGACAGGGCACACCTCTAATCCCAGCACTTGGGGAGGCAGAGGCAGGCGGGTCTTTGCGACAGAGTGAGTTCCAGGTCAGCCAGGGCTACACAGAGAAGCCCTGTCTAGAAACACAAACAACAGAAAGAATTTTCGTTAGTAAATATTAACAGGGCACAAGCTCCTGGACCCTTCCTGTAGTTGCTGCATCTGAGCTAACAGCTGGCCACTCCTTCACTGTTAGCCCAATACTGTAGCGCGCCACGCCTGTTCTACGTGAACTACGTGCTACACGCTATGATATGCTTGCCCATGCTACACACTATGGTATGCTTCGGGAATCGGGTAAGGCACTGGAGACCGAAACACAGAGACACTCAGACAGACAGAGACATGGGTCATCCTTGAAATCCCCAAGAATGCCAACTTGAATCAAGAATGCCCACTTTATTGTGTTCCAGGGTAGCTATATTATATAAGTGCCTTCCCTGGCCAATGGCCACACCCAACCCTCAACTGCAAGCCCACCAGAAACCACTCCCCTGTCTCGTGCTCAGAGCAGCTGCAAGCACAGGAGGACAAGTTGTTTACAGGAAATTCAGGGTCCGGGGGTCCACATTCCCCAACACAGTACCACTGACTGGAGAGAGATATGTGATCCACGTAGCTTCCATCTTAAGCTACAGGCCTCCACACTTCCCACGAAGAGTAGAGTGGGAGGCTGCAGGGCACAGCCAGCCATGAGGAGAAGAGGGCCTGTTACCAGTAGAAGCCGGCTTGTGCCAGTTGCACAAGGGAGCTGCTGTCTTAAGCCATCTCCCAGGGCATCAGTTAATGCACAGCCAACAACCATGCTACTCCTTTGTATATGGTACCCACATTGGGGCCAAGAGTAGCAGGAAGCCATGATGGCCATAGGGCTGCAGTTGTGAGCTGTAGGGTTGTGGATGGGCCCTGCTAGGTGAGGTGTCTGTAGGAGTCTCCTGGGCACGTTCTAGGCTGAGAGCCGCTTCCTGGAATATGCAGTCCTTCCACCTTGTGCTAGATGGAGGAGGATAATTTCTGGTTGCATTGCCGAGGGTGACGCTGAATGCACTAAGTATGGGATGTGGCAGAAGAAAGTCTCTGATACCTCGCAGTGTTCTGAGTTGGAAAAAGAAAAACATCAGACAGCTGGAGCAAGTCTCCAAACTCCCAGGTGTCATTGCTGAAGGCCAAAGGCTGCTTGAGAGATTGCAGAGGTGTGACTTGGGAGGATTCCTGGTCTCTGTTTTAACGGATAGCAGATCTGCACTCTGACACTCTGTCCCCACAGTGTGGAGCGCCAGGTCTTACCGACCAAATAATGGGAGTGGCCAAATTATCTTCCACCAGTATAGCATGACATCCCTGCTGTCATAGGCCTGCCGCTGTACCACGTCATACTCTGGAACCAATATCACCAGGTAAATGCCACACGGCCCCACATGGAAAACAGGGTCAGAGACACCAAGCACCTCGCTTGGGGAAACAGAGCAAGTTTGGGCAAGCAGGTGACAACCGAGTCAGTCCTTTGACTTATAAAGCCAGCAGGTGGGGAAGGAGTTTGCATCCTCAGGGAAGGAGTCAGTAGGGAGAAGCCATGCTAATCAGTGGCTCTAAGTGGGAGTGGCTGTCCAAAAGACACTGAGTCTTTGGGATGTACAAAGGTGCTGACCTAGAGCTGATAGGCTTTCCTGTGGAGGGCCACATCCATGTGGCTCAGGAGACACCGCCAGTTCCTTTGGACTCTTACCCAAGAAAAGTGGTGTTGAGCTGCCAAAGCCAACCTGCTCACCCACTGCTTGCCTAAACCGACCCTCACCCTCTCAGCATGGAGAGAATTCTGTCACTAGGCGCCACAATGTACCAGGCTCAGCAGGGAGAGGATTCTGTCGCTAGGAGCCACAATGTACCAGGCTCTTGACATCTTCATGCAGCCCACAGACATCGGCATCACAGAGGACACATTGTGGACTCTCTAAGAGATACTAAGTAGCTGTTCTTGGGCACAAAAAGTTTGGTCAAGCAATCTTCCAGCTTCATAGCCAGACCTTTGGTTCCAGGCATAATGCTCTTTGTGGCCAGAGGCTAGGAATTTAAGAGTTCAGAGGTTAAGTCAAGAACTCTCAGGAACCATCTTTCTTTCCTTGATTCTGAGGAACCATATTGTGTGATGTTTTACTCTTTTGGCTTTTTGAGGAGCCCACCACCCAACTCCCTAATAAATCCCTTGGAGGCTGATTCTTAATTATAAGCTTAATAACAAGCCTTAGCTTGGCTTGTTTCTAACCAGTTTTTCTTATCTTAGATTAATCCATCTACCCTTTCCCTCTGGGCTTTTTTATCTTTCTCTATTTCTGCGTGTCTTACTTTCCTTCTTACTCCATAACTGACTGGGTGGCTGGGTCCCTGGCCCCTGACGCCCTCCTCTCCTCTCATTGCTTCTCTTCTTCTTCGATTCTTCTTCTGCTTATCCTCTCTGCCTGCCAGCCCTGCCTGTCCTTGCTCCTGCCTCGCTAGTCACCATTCATCGCTTTATTAGTCCATCAGGTGTTTTAGACAGGCACATCAACACAGCTTCACGGAGTTCACGGAGTTAAACAAATGCCGCGTAAACAAAAGTCACACACCTGAAAATAACATTCCCTGGCAGAATCTTGTGTTCTGTGTGGAGGCTTCTCCTGAGAGAAGGGTGAGAAAGCTGGGGTGATGGAGGGCAGAATGCCCAGAACCAGACACTTTAGGGGGGTCTTTGTAGGCTGGTCATGCTGTGAACACTAGGAGGAAGAAGTCACAGTTGCTAGTTTTTGCAGGCACTGGGTAAGGGTTGGAAATTCTAGTACTTGGACAGAAGGAAGGCTTTGCTTACTCCCATGCATCTGAGGCATTGGTCTTTGGCAGTAGACGTCCACTCAGGATGGCGTTCACTCTTTGCACGTTCACTGATGGCTTCCTTGGCTCCCCATAGGTCTAGTACCAAATGCAGTACCTATCTGCTTATTTGACTTTATTGTTTTCTTTCAGGGCCCGGGTTTTCATTTCTCTTGGACAGATTTCAGCACGTGGAACTGTCCTGTGGTGAGACTGTGAAGCTTGTGTTTAGGATTTTATAACCAACTGACCGATTTTCCAGCGTGTGGGGGTTCACTTTCTCCCCATTCTTCTCAATACACGGTGATGTCTGTTTAACAGGCATTGCAGTGCTAGCGTGGTAGTTTTGACTTGGATCTCCCTAATAGTTAATGAACTACCATTTATATATCATTTTCCCACCACATGCCTACTCTGAATCTTCCTTTCGTTTAAATTGTCTTTCCACAGAGGCTTTAAAGTCACATATTCTGAACACATGTCATTTATTAGGGATGTGAGCTTCAGACTTTTCTTCACATCTGTGGCTTATCCTTCCATTCTTTGAACCCTGTCTTTGTAAAAGCAAAATATTTGAATTTTGATGCAAGTCAAATTTATCAAGGTTTTCATTTTTATTTTATTTCATATTTAAGGCGGTTATGGAGATTTTTCCTCTGCGCTTTCTTTGAGAATTTCACCTTACAGCTACAAGGACTGAAATTAGGACCCCACGCACGCTAGTCCCATGCTCTACCACTGACTTGCAGCCCCATTCATCCTTTGGAAACTATTAAGGCTCTTACATTCCAGTATATAATTAACTATGTGTTCGTGTTTATGAAGCATTAGATATGTTAACTGATTTTTATTATGTCTGTACATCATTTAGGGGTGAAAATAAAAGAAATGAAGACAGCAGTGTAAGGAGAGGTTGGGGGAGGAAGTTAGCCTTTCT